GTGTTAAAACGAGAGGCACAAAAAGGCCCAAATTGATTTTGGAAATGTGTTTTGTACTAGTAATACATAATGATTATGTGTTAGATTTATGACTAAATTTTTAAAATGGTTAATCGTGATACGGTATTTTTTCTAATTCAGTTCTCAATAACTTCTAATTACTTACATGGTCCTTTATAACTGAGATTTGTTTTTCAACTAGTCCTTCTTAAATAAAAATATATTTTGGTATTTGTATCATCTAAGTTTAAAGTATATTCAGAAAATGGTCATTTTTATGTAATTAAATGTAAACTAAAAAATTACATACATAATCCATGTACAATTTAAAACCTATAAAAAAATTTAAAATTCAAATCAAATACATATCTTTAACTATAAAAAATTAGTTTGGGAAAGCACTTCATTAGAAATGATAATTTTAACAACTTAATCTAACTTTAACTGATAAAAAATACCAAAATGTCTCCCAATTAATCATCATTTGAGTAACTTTTTTTAAAAAAGACTATCTAAGGAATAAATCTCAATTATAAAAGACCACATATGTAATTAAAATTTATTGACAATTGATTAGAGAAAACGCTTTATTGGAGAGGATCATTTTGAAAATTTGGTCTAGATTTATAGCATTCTCAAATCTTTCAAAAAGATATTTAGTTTTGTTAATAAATAATTCTAATTTTTATTATTGATATGATAAAATATAGAATCAATCTGTCCCCTTCATTTGACAACAAAAACGGGTGTCATATTATGACAACAAGGTTTACGGTGTTTTGTTTGAAAAATTTATAATCAGATTAAAATCCTAACTAAACCAAAAATAGCTTTAAATATAAAATAAACCAGATCGAATTTGAGTAGACCAAATTAGAACAACTTTAAATTAAATCAGACCCAATAATTGATTAGCCATCTCACTTTCGTGTTGGGCTTTTTTACTCCATCGGCTTCCACATGGTTTCAGTTGGTCCTTAACATCAGCCTCAGGTGGTTAGAACATCGGTAGTGGCATGGATTTGTCACTGCCACGTTTTCACCTCATCCACTTTTATAAAATGCATGGGCAATTTGTCATGCTTGGCATTCCATGTGGGAGTCATGCTTCTTTCTTTTTTTCTCTTTTTAAGGGTTTTTTCATAAAACACAAGAATTTTTTAAAAGAAGTAGAAAGATTTTTTTAAAAAAAAGATAATTAACATAATTTTTAATAATTAAAATATGTTAAAAAAATGAAAAAACTGATAAAATCAATTACTTTCCACTCCACCAACTTACCACACGCTAACTGGATTACTTCTTATTGGTTGAAATATGTCATGTCAACGTATGACATTCCATTTTTGTACTCTTATATAAATGAATCTCTTTTGTATGGGATAAATAGACCTATTAACATAGATATCCCAATACATCCATTAAATCTAACTTGGAAAATGTATTCGTAAATTGTGATCTTAAAATTTACTCCATCCGTCCTGAAATATTTATCTATTTTTTTTATTAGAGCTGATAAATTTTGACCCCTAATTAAATAAAAATGATATTAAATATTGATATAAAAATAGTTTTATTAAATTTATTTTATAAAATATTTTCAAAATATTATTTTATCTAATTAATATGCAATATATATATATATATATATATATATATATATATATATATGTCAAAAGTTGAAAATAATTCATTGGAAATAGTTAAAATTGGACAAATACAACGAGACGAAAGTAATAATTTTTATATATTTACTTTCTCTGTCTCAAAAAATAATGTCTTGCATTGACTTCACGAGAATTTAAAAAGCATGGGAAAGAAAGTGAGATGTGGTATGACGATAAATGATTGGTTAGAATTCATATAAAAGAAAGATATAATTTTGGACCACATTTTTTACGAGGTGATTGGAAAACGAAAATGAGAAATCCTGAATGAAGTGAAGTATTTTTATTAAGTATATTTCATTTTCCACTTTATTATACAGAGTACACTTGATGTTGTTTAAAAGTATATAGTGATTTTTATTTTTTATTTCTTTATCAATATATAAATAAAAAAATTATAGAGAAAATTTAATGCAAATTTTGTGCACCAAGGTTCCTATGACATTGTCCCGTTCGTAAAATTGACGGTTCTTACCCCCACCCCTCGGTAAACCTTCACCCTGCCCCGCCCCGAACACACTCCCACCCCTTCAATTGCACCCCACAAGTTGATTTTGACTTTGGAGTCAAATTTTGACTCCAAAGTCAAAATCAACTTGTGGAGTGTAATTAAAGGGTGTGGGGGGTGTGTTCGGGTCGGGGCGGCGTGGGGGGTTTACCAGGGATAAAGAGGTAAGAACCGTCAATTTTACGAACGGGGTATCGGAGCGTCCCCGTGTCATCCTATAACATTGCCCGACAATGTCATGGGAACCTTGCCCAACTTTGTGATAAAATATATGCTCCTAATTGTTCTCCCTTTTCCTTAATTATACTTATATATGAGCATTTCTTTTCTTTTTTATTTTCAAAATATCATAAAATCCGAGTCTCATGTTTCGTCTCCCTCCACTACATCTCACAGATCTTATCGCATTGACCTTTCCTGTGATGATGAGCCTTTTCCCACTATTTCTCCCTCCCCTCCCCCGCAATCCCCTGCCCCAATTCCGGCCGATTCCCATTCCTCCCCGTCGACCCTTTCCCAATTCCGCATCTCCCCCCGTCTCCGCTCACATCTCCGGCGATTCGTTTGCCGGCTTCGCAACCTGATTCACGCAACAGGGGAGGAGTCCTGGTTCCCGTTCCTGCTCCGGCGCCAGTGCGCGGCTCGCCGTCCGGGCTACGAGATTATGTCTGTCTGGCTGTTCCTCCCCCCGGTGGTTCCCTCCCTCTGCCGCCCGCTGGCTGATCCTCAGGTGTGTTCAGTTCTTATTTCTCAGTGCTTTTCTTCTGCTCGACATTTAACCTGGAATCTCTACAGTAGATCTCCGGTAATATGCATTTCGTCGAATTTTCGAGCTTGATTTGTATAGTTTTGTAGCTCGCTGACTCAATTTCTTACTAAATTTGGTTAATTTTGAGGGCTATCGGGTAGATTTTTTCTTTCTAATTAAAGTACAGTAAGTAACCTAAAACTGGATGAGTAAGCTCAAAGCTCATGTTTCCATATCTTCATGAGCTGTGCTTGAATGCATACCTGAGCTATTTCTGTTTTTTCATTGAGGTTAAGAGCCAGTTTGATGGGCACAATCTGTTAATTATCTTATTAGAAAAATGAGCTGGAAGAATAAATTTTTGCTGACTTTTTTAGCTGAATATGTGTTCTTAGATGTATTACTGATACTTCTTTACTTGATTTTTTTGTGCCTTTGTTCAACACCAATGATTTCTTTGTGAAATTGAGCAAAAAAATCTTTTTTCTTTTTCTTCTTCCAGGATGGCTTGTTCATAAAGCCTTCAAAGAAGTCTCCACTGCTATTGAGAATGCTGGTCTTAATTTTTGTAATGGTTTGTGGAGTCTACATATGTTCGGTCTGCCTCAAGCAAACGGGCAGTCGCAGAAATGGACATTTACTGAATATTGCTGTCGTGGAAAAGCCATGTGAACCACCTAAAATTGAACCTTCAGAGAGACCTTATGTGCACTTCCCCAAACCTAAGACTTTTAGCCGGTAAGATACTAAGATCCCTTCAGTTCTATTAGTACATATTGAGTGTCTAAGCAATTATCGTTAAGATTTTCTACCGAACACTAATTTATTTGACTGCATTAATCAGCCGGTAATAAACACAAAAAGAATTGCATAAGTTTTTTCTTGTGTGGTTAAAATGGTTAAAATGAATAATCCCATCAATGTAACTTCTACCTTCATCTCATAAATAATAAAGGGAAATTTACTTCTTCCAATTGAGCTCTTTTGGTTGTTATTTTTTAACAAAATTACTGATTTGCACCCTTATGCGTAAGCAGGGCTGAGTGCGCTTGCAGTCCAGTACGGTATTTTGCAATTTTGTCAACACAGAGGTCAGGCAGTGGATGGTTTGAGACATTGTTGAATAATCACACAAATATAAGCTCCAATGGCGAAATATTTTCTGTCAAAGTCAGGAGAAGCAACATATCCACGATCGTGGATACTCTAGATAAGATATATAATCTTGACTGGCTAACAAGTGCTTCCAAGAATGAATGCACAGCTGCAGTTGGGCTTAAATGGATGCTTAACCAGGTGATGAGAATTTTTTCTTCTAGAAAGGGAAATGGGATATTTGTAGCTAGTATGAATGTTAGAGTTTGATGCCATTTGTCAACATCTAAATCAGCCAAAATTAAGAGACTTTCCTCTTTGGCTGGACACTGCCTGAAACAATTGGGTTGATTGCAGGGTCTGTTGCAGCATCAAGAAGAGATAGTGGAATACTTCAAGAATAAGGGAGTTTCAGCTATTTTTCTATTTAGAAGAAATCTATTGCGTAGAATGGTTTCAATACTTGCCAACTCGTATGATCAACGTGCCAAGTTGTTAAATGGGACACACAAATCACACGTGCATTCTCCTACAGAGGTCAGTCTATCTATCTATCTCTCTCTCTCACACACACATTTGTGGTCTTACACATGCAAAATAAAATGCATGAGTGAATGTGGAAATGTTAACCGGTGTGCATTGTTGTCAGACTAGCTATGTTCAACTCTCCATAAGCTAGCTATTAACTTTATTTGCAAAGCTTCTCAAATGAGTTTCCATTGACCGAGACAACTTATTTGATAAGTTTGAGTTTATTCAATAGTGTTCACGGGAATAGTTCCATTTTCAGTTCTATCTATTTTAAAAGCATGCTAAGCATACTTTTGAGTGCGTTTTGTGTTATTTTGTAGTATATCTAAGCTCATCAGCCAACTCTTACCAAACAGTATATGAGATCAACTAGCATATCAACTAGCATATCAACTATATATGTTATACACTTATACTCTTTTCCCAATTTGTTGTGCTCACTTATACTAGGCATGAGTTTTTATGTTTTATCCTTTCGGAAAGGAGTTAAAGCTTAAGTATTATGCTCAACAATCAGCACATCATGGATAAACTGAAGGGGTAAAGCATCCCATTCATGACAACAGACTCGGAACTAGTTGCCCACTCACTACACCAGACTCAGAATTAGTAGCCCTTGGAAGCAAATGGGCAACTTGATTCTTTTATCTTCTAACAAACAACTTTGGGATAACTTTAATGAAGGAAAAAACTTCATTTGATCGTTACAATCATTTGCAATAAAAAATTAATAAGAATCACGGTGAGGATTGATAAAGTGAAAATAATGCGGGGTTGATATTTTATGTGGAGGAAAGAGTAACACATACTGACAAACCACACACTACTTTTTAAAATTGGAAACACAGTAAAGTACAGACCAAAAAGGAAAATATGCACAACAAATTGGGATTAAGTGAGGCACACATGAATAACAAATCAACTTATGAGGTTGATTTATCATCAGCTAGCTTATTGGCTTGCCTGTAGAGCTTATTTTTGTGGTTCTGATTCATTTTAAGCTCTCAATAAGCTATTCATTTGGTAAATGAAATAAGAGCTTAACATAAGTTCTTATTTAAAAGCTATCTCCTTTAGTGTTTCAGAAAGAAGATCTCCTGTTTACTTTGTTTCCACTAATAACCAGTTTGGAAAAATAATGCTGTTTATTCATCCTTATTCAATGTAAGGAACTCCATTTTCTCTTTTTACGTACTCACTATATAAGCTATGCAACAACTAAATTTTCAAACACTTTTAACATAGGCTGTTAGCTACTTCCCCACACTCATTCTCTGACAGAGGTAGAATAAGTAGCGTTTGACATAGTTATTCAGCTAAAACGGATGTTACCTAACACTTCTCTTTCTAGGAAATCGAGCAATTTCAGCCAAATAACTTTTTACCAATCTGGACTTTTAATATGTGCAATAAACCCCGTAACACAAGAATATTTTTGCAGGCAGAGATACTTGCTAGTTACAAACCAACTGTGGACACACAATCACTAGTTCCTAATTTGAAACAAGTGGATGATATGGTCACAAAGGCTCTGGAGTATTTCAAGAGCACTAGGCATGTCATTCTTTACTATGAGGACATCATTAAAAACAAAACTGTAAGAAAAGTTTGTTTCTCTCTGGTCATCTTATGTTTTACAAGTATGAATGTAGTGAATTGACACCATTGCCCCCCAAATCCTCCATTCCATTTCCATTCCCATTCCCACAGAAACTGATGGATGTTCAAGATTTTCTAAGGGTTCCTCATCAAGAATTAAGAAGCCGTCAAGTAAAGATACACAAGGGGGCTTTATCGTCTCAGGTAGAGAACTGGGGAGAAGTTGAGAAGACGCTCAAGGGCACTCCTTACGAGGCCTTCCTGCAACCTGATTACGAGGTCTAATTGTACATTTCTTTTTCTACCTTAACATATTCTTTATTTTTGTTAGCAGAAGCCAACAGGGAAGAGGGAAGTGTTTGTCCTAATTCATAATGTAGTTAATTAATAGCATGTTGCCTTCTTATGTATTCCTCCATTGCAAAATCCTTCAATTTTGCTGATTACCCTTAACGCCGTTAAGGGTACCTCTGTTAACCTCTCGTCGCTACAAATGATACCTGAATTCTTGTTTCTGGGGAATTAATATAATGTAATTTAGTTCATTTCTTTTCTGGATTTTTATTTAAGGAATAATTTTATATCTGTACTTTGTTTACGCAATATAAAATCATTTTGTACTGATATATTATGGTGACTTATTCTTTTAATGCTTTGGACCTCCTCTTTCCTTGGCTTACCCTACTATAACTATTGCTACTACTACTACCTAAACCTGCATTCTCGGCCCGGGCCCCTGCGACCAAACCTCCATTTGTCGTCACAGTAATTGTAAACCATATGCCTCCTCTGCATGGTCCTCATCCTGGCACGGCTCCACCGGTCGAGCTCTGTTGTGAACCACGGTTCCTTGTTCTGTTCGCGCAAATTGCACGACGTGGATTTGCTCGGCCGCGACCAAACGCATCCTTGGTAACTGAAGTTCCTGTAGGAGGCAACGAAGGGCGCGAGTGTCCAGTTCGTCTTCACGCGGCCGCCTTGTGTGGCCCATGCATCGGCGTTCCATATGCTCGAGTACATCCTCATCGGCTGATCCTTTGGGAATGTAACACCGATTCTCTCTGCGTTTCTGAACTCTCTTATCGGCGTACCATCCACATAAAACCTGCCATAACGACCCAAATTTCAATGAGCGAAAACTAGTTTTTTAAGTATATTTAATTAATGATTAAAGTTTTGCTTGTTATATGGTTATATATATATATATACTCACAGGATGGCTTTGGGATTCCAAAGGATTGTGTAGGTGTGGAAATCTGTGGTGGGATCAAACCACAAGAAGAATTGCATCTCTCTTTCCCCTCTCCCTTGACTGAACACATTTGTGTGAAGAGTGTATGGGTTCCCAGATGAGTTCCCCAGAAACTCAAAGTCTATCTCGTCGTGGTGATCGCCTTCCGACGACAACTGCATTTTACATTTCATCTCCGAATATCAATCTCGACGCGAGAAACGACGGTCTCGATGCATTTAAAAAGAAAAGAAACTAAATGAATGTAGAGGTGACGCATGTCCAAATGCATTCAATTTCAAGAGAAAGAAAAAAACTGAATGAACGTAGACGTGACGCATGTCTAGATACATTCAATTTCGAGAAGAAAAGAAGAAAAAAACCGAATGAACAGAGAGGCGACGCATGTCCAGATGCAATCAATTTCGAGAGAAAAAAAGAAAAAAAACTAAACGAACGTAGACGTCATGTATGTCAACTTCGAAGGGAAAAAAGAATGAATCAACCTAGACGTGACGCACGTCCAGATACATTTCAATTTCGAGAGAAGAGGGGACGGACGGGGGCTTGCTTACGTAGTAGGTGGTGACGGTGCCGGCAGAGTCGCCGGGGACGAGCTTGATCTGCATCTCAATCTTGCAGAAGATGAATTCCTTCTTGGATTCAAAGCCAGCGCCAGAAGATCTTTCGAGCTGGAGGGTGAGCACTTCTCCATTGTCGTGTAACTTGCATCGCTCGTCTCCCCAAGACAGCATAAACTCCCTCTGGAATGTCCCATTTCCAATCCTGCATCATTAAACATATTTTTTGCAAGAAAATTCAATTAAATGAAAGGTGCATTAAAGGTAAAAAAAAGTAATTAAAGAAGGAATAACGTACGTACTTGAATGGTGAATCAGGTGATTTTGGTTCATGATAGTTTATTTTTTCCCTGCTGTGTCGAGCTCTTGATAGTTTTTGCAGAATCAGAATATCCACCTGATGATGATGATAATCAAAGTTTCAAACACCCAGAAAATATCTTGCAATGTCTCGACGTAGCTTAAATGACAAAGAAGCGATACGTAAAATGGGTCGGGTTTTCAATTTTGGTTTTGGTAACGACGGTGAAAGTCAATTATATGCAAAACTTTGTGTTGCGGTTGTTCGTGTACGTATAAGGAAAGATCAATCCCGTACGAGTTTAAGTTCATAGCTCGATTCATTCTTTTCTTTTTATTCATAATAATGCATTACGTTTACGCTATAATTGAAAAGAAATTAAAGGTCAAGAAATGCAATGTCTACCTAGAATGGTATAATAATCGGCGAAACAAGAAAATAACCTTAAAGACGAAAAAAGCCGCAAAGAAGAGGAACACGAAGCATGCCAGATTAGATGATGAGCACGAAGAAGATGACGAGAACGAGGAAGACGACGAGGAGTGCCTATAGGCCATTGTGATATTTTCCCGTTATATATTTCTCTTCTTTTTTTTATTCTCCTTTCAAATTTGAAATAGAAATTGTTTATGTTAGTTCAATGAATATATACGAGTAGTATTATTCTTATTGTTTTTATTTATTAGAAGTATAAGGTATTTTTTATGCAGTTTTATTTCATGATTCCTAGTCTCCCCTTTCTTCTTGGTATATATGTAGGTCGGTATTAACCTAATTATAGCCATCAATTCCTTTGGTTCTCCTCTAATGGACAATATTACTGGTTTTAAATGTTATCACATTGGCCGTCCTCAAGTAAAACTAGCCTATTTTGAATTTTACAATTAACAAAATGGTTCTTGTTTTTTTAAAAAAAGCCAAAATAACTGAAATAACAAAGTTCGGCGAGAATCTCCAATTAAAATAAACTATGCAAACAAATTGGACAAATATGCTCTTGAGAAGATGTTATAACACATTGATCATAGAAACTGTTTATAGACAGAGTAGCGAGCGCTATATTAGATACGTCACAGACATGAGAAAAATAAAGTAAAAGAAGTGAACAGACACAAAGAAAATGAATTATATTGAAGTGGTATATGTACTACATAAAAAGTTACTCCAAGTTATATCTTTGTGGTATTCCTTACGTCCAAAAATTTTACTCCGTATTTGTAATTACTATTCACACGACCAACTTTAATCACATTCTTTACTTATTTCTATAAAAGGAATTCGATTTAGTTTTTAAATATATAAAAAAATCATATATGTAATACATATAATTATATCACATCTTGTTTCGTAGATGAATTAGATGTACGTAATTTTCAAATATATAATTCTTATTTTTAAACTTTGTCCTATAATTAAATAAATTGAAGGAAATTATCACATGAATACTCCAAGAAATTTGTTATTTTACGTCAGTACTCTGAAATTGAATAATTGACACCACTAATCCAAGAAATTACTCAATTTTACACAAATATTCCAAGCTGCCAACTAAGCTGAATGTGTGGCATTTTAAATGATGACTAGAAACTTATTCACTATGAATTGGTAATTGATTATAAAAATAAAGAAAGCACCTTGAATGCGTTATAATTAACCCCTTCCATGCCAATTTAAAATAACAATGTGTTAAAACTGAAAAATAAAGTGTTTATATTTTAATCGGATAAATTATGAAAAGTGTTTCAGATAAAAAAATTAGAGAATTTTAAAGTTGATATACTGCCGAATATATATTTTAAAGCTCTTTCCCACAAATCTAAATTTAATTATGAAAAAACTAATTCAAAATTTTTATTTTGTCTAAAACAATATTTTTCTTTATTTTTATCACTCCGTAGTTACTAGCAAATACTTAATAATTTAAAGTCACAATTTATAATGACACGTATTCTGCTTAGTTGGCGCTCCAGAGCATTGGTATAAAATGGAGCAATTATTGGGAACAGTGATGTAAATTATTCAATTTCGGAGTATTAACGTAAAATCATGAATTTTTTGGATTATTAATATGAATTTTCTTCTAGTTTAAATTAAAAATGACTTCAGTCAAAATTCATAAATCAAAACGAGATAACCATTTTAGAGCACAAAGAGTACAATTTTTTGTATGTATACTCAATAAAAAGTTAATCCTAATTTTGTATCCACTAGTAACTATCCCCATTTGAAAAAGGATGAGTCACGACATCCTCATAACTAGCCAAACTATCACTCAGAAGAAGTAAATTTAATTTGAATCGGAGATTGGTTTAGCAGAGTAGAGAAAGTAAATCAAATTTTAATCGTAAATTAAAGACAAAGAGAAAAAGTTAGCCGTAATATTTGTAGAGGTCCTTGTAAAACTTTGACCCTATATGGCATTAAAGTTAGAGATTAGACATTTTGAAAATGTCATCCGACGATAGCCTTTGGCATTAAAATTTTCATCCAAAACGCTAATCATAATTGAAAATATTATTCAAAAATAAAGCTTGTCTTGTTGCCGTTTTAACCAACTTGCATGTAAAGAAGGAATTTTGCTACTTTACCTAAAAAAAAGAGAGCCAAACGCGGCGTAAGAAAGCCATCCAACGTTGACCAACCCCCAATAATGCAAAGACCAGACCAGCCTGGATATTCCGGGAAACATGTTGGCGTGTTGGGATCCTCTGCACATCACCCCCACACAAACAAATCTACACCTCCACTCTCCACTGTCCATCCCAATCCCCTCTTTCAACCTCCACACACTCCCAATAATTGCATCTCTTTAAATATTCCCTCCCTCCTATTAAATTTATTATTCTCTCTTCTCCAATTATGAAGAAAATATATTAAATTAAGATAAAAATTAATGTCAACAGATTTATTTTAAAATAAAATTTAAAAATATCATATTTTTACAAAACAAAATTATGTACAAATGGAGATATATATTGTTAAAATTACATGTTGAAGACCGTAAAAAATAAACAGAAAGATAATTTTGAAATGGAGGGAGTGCATCTTTTTTCAAAATCTTAAGAAAATTATGCTCCTATTAATTTTATTTCCTATTTTATTAATAAATATATGGTCACTAATAATTTTTTTCTCTTTTTTAGACAAATTCTAACCATCTTTTTTATTTTTAAACATTTTTTTTTAAATATAATGAAGTTTAGAAAAATCCAGGGAGGATGTCTGTGGCCCCCACGCATATTTTCCCGGTCCCACCGAGGCCGAATCGACGGCGGCGATCAAACCCCTGCTGATCAATCGACGGCCAAGAGACGACGTCTTGACAAAGGACAGATACCCTAGATCCCGTCTCACCTCTGCCCTTCTTCTTTAAGCTCTGTACTTCCTCTCATTCCTTCTTTCTTTCCTTCTCTTTCGCATCTGTTCTTCGTATCACTGCTCTGTTTCTGCTCTGTTTCCTCCCGCCTCATCGCCGGGCTAAATTGAGATATAATAATCGAGAAATGAGCAGCGGGGGAGACATGAATCAGCAGCAGCAGATTCAGCAGCAGCAGCACCAGCAATGGATGGCGATGCAGCAGTACCAGCAGCAGTGGATGGCGATGCAGTACCCGCCGGCGCCCATGGTCATGTACGGCCAGCACTACCTGCCTTATTACCCGCAGAACCACCCCCAGCAGCCGCCGCCGCCGCAGCAGCAGTTCCAGCAGCAAAAGCTATCTCCGCCGCGGCCGCCTCAGAATCAGTGCTCCGGCGGCGAAGATAACCGGACGATCTGGATTGGAGATCTCCAGCAGTGGATGGACGAAGGGTATCTCCATTCTTGCTTCGCTCCCGCCGGAGAGGTACTCTTAATTGGATCTGGATATGCTTATTCCGGTGAATTGGAACTTGATTGAGATGATGAATAGATACCCAGAAATATTTCAGCTAATTTACTAATTATAAGATCCTAGTTTCAATCCTGCAATGAATGATTCAAAGTTTTTCCCAGTATTCATATTGGTCCTCTGTTTGTTTCAGTGGAAGCAGTTGTAATTTCAGATAAAGATCTAAACTTTGTTTTCGTAGCCTCTTAAGCTCAGAGCATGTGGTTCAAGATTAGATCTGATTGGGGAGAAGTTCAAAGATTAATGTTCCTTATGTTAAACAATAAAAAAATGTTACTCCGTAATAGATATGAATGAATGGAAGAACTCTTTGTTAATAAATGTGAGCCTAATATCATCTCATCCATTGTAGTTTTTAAGTGTTAGTACTAGAGTTAGATCCAATCTTCTTGTTTACCCTTAAGAGGAGTTTAATTTTGTTCATGGCAGTTCTTATGACACCGGATTTCGGTGACATAATATGACACCAGAGCCAACCTTGCTTCGTTGAACCCATCCTGGTCCCGGGCCCAATAGAGGCACCGCAAGACCCCCAAATGGCTTGGAGTCATGATCTTGTTAAATCTTGGTGACACCAAACCGAACCAAACTTTGGTTTTTGCAATTAAATCTTGTTAATAATAAAATTTATTGATTTTCTAATGAGAAACACACTCCATTGATTTGATAGTTGGGAAAGTTTTGATTTTTTTATATTTCTTGGGGTGTTTTGAATTCCTTTCTTGTATTCAAAGAATTTGGTTGGTTATTCAAATAGAGGAAATGCACTAATGTTAAACTGTAGCAAATGTTTGGTTAATGCTAAGGTTTTCATGCGAGTCAAACCATACTAAAAGAATGTATTTTCATTTTGCAGGTAATTTCAGTTAAGATTATTCGTAATAAGCTGACCGGTCAGTCAGAGAGATATGGATTTGTTGAGTTCAGTGCCCACACGGCTGCTGAGAAAGTCTTGCAGAACTATAGTGGCACAATGATGCCAAACGCGGAACAACCATTTCGCTTAAATTGGGCTTCGTTTAGCACTGGTGATAAGAGAACACCGCCAGAACCTAGTTCCGACCTATCCATTTTTGTTGGAGATCTGGCCGCTGATGTCACTGACACACTACTGCACGAAATCTTTGCCACCAGATATTCTTCCGTTAAAAGTGCAAAGGTAGTTGTTGATTCAAACACAGGGCGCTCAAAAGGATACGGGTTTGTAAGATTTGGGGATGAAAATGAAAGGTCACGTGCCATGACTGAAATGAATGGTGAGTACTGTTCAAGCAGACCCATGCGATTAGGCGTTGCAACTCCTAAGAAACCTTCAATGCAACACCAGCATTCTTCCCAAGGTTAGTACACACTCTCATTTTGTCTTGCCTGTTGTTAATTACTACATTTTGAATCTGGTTTCTTGGGTTTTTTTTGATAAATTGGACCTAACTTGCCCTAAAAAAGATTCCGAAAATGTGAAGCCTTAACCTTATATACTTATATGTACCATCCTCAGCACTTCACTTGCCTTAATACTAAGATCCCTTTTTCTCTTGTGTATACCAATTCTTGCATATAATTTCTCGTTTTGACAACTCATTTTCAAGAAAATGTTTGTGTAGGTGGCGGGTTTGCTTCAAATGGAGCTCAAGCCCACGGCTCCCAGTTTGACAGTGATTCTTCCAACACAACGGTGAGAGCCTCGCCAGACCTGAGGAGTTGTTTAACAGGTTATTTAATCTTCTTCTAACATTTGGCTCACCATTTCTAGATATTTGTGGGCGGACTTGATTCTGATGTCACTGATGAAGAACTAAGGCAGTCCTTCACTCAGTTTGGCGATGTGGTATCCGTTAAAATACCAACTGGAAAGGGTTGTGGTTTTGTACAATTTGCTATTAGGTAACAACCCACTTTGATCAGAGCCGTTTTAACTGTACATGCAAATGCTTTGTGTTTAAAAACCATGAATACACATCCTTATTTTGAAACTCTGCAGGAGCGCGGCCGAGGATGCATTGGAGAAATTAAATGGTTCATTTATTGGGAAGCAGACGGTTCGTCTTTCATGGGGTCGCACTCCATTAAACAAGCAGGTATTTATACAGATACTGGATGATTTGAATCTGTTAAATCCCATATTGTGTAGAGCAACAGTAATTGAATTCATCTCCTAACATAACAGTTAAAACCAAATCAGAAATGGAGAGATAAAACACGGCTAATAATCACTGACGATCCAGCAAAAGCACACAGGATACACAGCCTTGGAAAAAACAGGATCACTTCCACTTTCATTTTTTTCTCGTTCCCCAAAACACTTCCACTTTCTATTGAAAACCCACTTTTATCCCTACCTTTTCTTATCCTACCTATTACATCATACTTTTCACTAATAATCTACTCATCACATCAAGTCTAAAATTGGAAAGTCAACCATAAATATAGATTCCTTATTTTGGCTAAAAGTCAAAATAGGAATGGTTTATTGAAACGGAGGGAGTATATAGTTCTACATGACAAATACTCCCTATGTCCCAAAAAGAGTCACTTGTTGTTTACGAGGTTTGACTGAAGTTATTTTCAATTAAAAAATAAAATTTATATTTTTAAAAAGTACATCAAAATTTCTATAAAACAAGAGTTGACAAGACTATATTATTTTCTCAAATGGGTAGCGAAAATGGGTCAATAACGTGGTTAAAGTTTGACCTTGTAAGTAGTAAACAAGCAACTTAAATTGGGACGGAGGGAGTGCTTAAAGTTTAGAATTTGTTTTTTTGAATATCGCTCAAAAAGATACATATAAGTAGTCTTTTAGTAACTTCATAATCACAACACTAACAAAGTATGAGGTAGGAAACGTAGAGGCCGTAGTGGGTAGGGGTTAGGATGTGTGGGTCCACTCCCTCCCTTCCCCCCACCCATTTGTGTGGGAGTTTTGGCATTGAGCACATATGGTGCACTAGATTAACCTTAAGAACTAGCTTTTGAGGTTGGATCCAGACTTTTTAAAGTTTATCTCATCGGATCCATGGTCGAGTGCCAATTTCATCTTCCCAATCTGTACAAAAAGGCATTTTGTGTTTTATTGTGCTCTCTATGATCATTACTCCGTAGATTGGAATTATCAAAATATACTTACATGTACTTACGCTTCTCTTTTGTATTTCACCCCATCTTTTTAGCAAGGGAGAAGTGAGAATAATGGCCACTGGAACGGAGCTTATAATGGAAGGCAGAGCCCCGGCGGATATGGATATTATATGTCACAGAATAGGGATCAAGGCATGTATGCTGCTGCTGCTAGCTATGGCAATCACCAGCAGCAACCTGTGAGCTGACGTGGCGTTCCTGCGCGGCTGTACTGTTTGAGTTATACCTCAGAAAACTGAAATGTGCCCTTTTTTCTTATGTATTTGTGCTCTTTTAAATTTGAGACTGATAATAAAATCAGTTGTGTGAGAATTTTGTAGCTGGATTGAATTCATCCATTAGCTAGTTCATGGATACATGCAATCTGCACATTTGGAACCTGAAGTTTATCATAATGTTTGGTGACTTCACTATCTCTGCAAGGTGAGAATATATAGTCTAGATGACTGGTTCTGGTTGAGCCATTGGTCGATTGGGGCAAGGGCATATTCCACGCTCTAAAAAGCGTAGGCGTCCACGATTCGTGGCCGTGATGGGGTAGGTCCATACGGCATTGCGTGATTGGTCCACGTGCAATGGGTTCCCCCTATTGGACCGTGTCTCAAACAGGATTGGTCATTTTAGAATTGATTGCGGTAAGGTCATGTGGCATTGCACGCGTGGGATGGTGTCTCTGGATTCTGGCTCGGAACTAGAACCGAAAACTAAGTTTTAAAAACCAAAACAGATCAGGGGGAGTTCGAAAAACTGGTTCAAGAGAAGGGTTCTAGTTTCTTTTTGCTGTTTTAGTAATCAAAATTGACAGTTCCAATTTTAGTTATATTTCATTTTTTTTTGTTTTTTATTGTTTGTAAGGCTAAATTTAATTTGTTAAAAGCAAATTCACAATATCTGCAAACAATAGTAGGTGATAAATCACTCAATCGTATCCAAGGGAAAGTATCTTGTTGCATGTTATTAAATTGAATGACGAGACACGTAAGACACTCGATAACAATAAGAAAATGTGTCGTGAGATTCTGGAATCCAAAAATTTTAGATTGAGCAGGACCAAAACTGAGTACGTGAATGTTGCTTCAATGGTCATCCAATTATATTATACTCCTACGTTAAAGGGTTGGTTCACACAAGTACCTTGAAGAGACAAATTTCATTACCTTGGTTTGGGCACGTTGTATTGGAGCTGCTTCGGTGAAGTGGAAGCTAGTTTTAGATGTTCTTTGCGACAAGAAGGTATCGACTAAAACAAACGAGAAGTTTTTTTTAATAGGAATCTGTGTGCTGGGCACTGAAGAATGCTCGTGTTCACAAGCTATGAGTGTCATCCGAAATGAGGCTATTCGGGAGAGGGGTTAGAGGGGAAAGGGGAGGAAGAACTGAAGAAGCTTATTGGTTTCTCGTTTTCTCTCCATGTACCGAAATATGACCCTTAGTATTCTCTGGCCATTGAAACCTTTATTCATTCATGTATTTTTGGAGGTCACATGTGTCCTTGATATCATAGAGTCCAAAGCGGTATGACTTGAAACAATGAAACTAAACAACCCCAGTACACACACGAGTTAATAGGATCTTGGTAGGCGAAATGAGAACAAATTCAATGTCTCATCAATGGCAAAATGTGAAGCCAAAACCTCCCTGGCAAGTTACAAATTGGTATAGGGATATATTGCTTAGCAACATCTAATATCACAACACACAACAAGAACCCCCCCCCCCCCCCCCCCCCCCCCCCCCAAGTGCGAAGGAACGAGGAGTCAAAAGAAAGAAAAAAAATGATTAATGCTTATAAAGGCCAAGCAAAGACTTCTCTCTTTCTTCAACGCGCTTCCTTGCAGCTTCCCTTGCTTTTAGAGCGGCTGATTCTGCCTCTGACATAGCTTTTGATGGCTTCTTTTGAGCTGATTCCCTTTTCCTTTTGTTGTCCACCGTTACGGAAGAAGGAGCAGCGCCTTTCATGGATCTGGTAGGATTCAGCGGAGTTGAAACAACACGCCCCGGTGGAGGCCCACTTTGAAGAGTGGTTTTGTCCCCTGATGAGGACTCAGGCTTTGTTGTTTCTGAGACTACAAGGTTGTTCTTCAAAATAGGCTTCTTTGGGACAGGCTGTGTAGTAGTGACTTGAGTTGCTGCTATTGCCTCTTCCCGTGTCCCCCACCGACCTAAAGCATCACTGTAGTAGAATCCAGATTTTGGATCATAGTAACAACCGTCGTTCCCATTGTAATAGTAGCCTGATGTGCTGTCATACTGCCCCCAATCTGTACTTATAAACAGGAATTCAACCTTAGGTAGAAGTCTACAAGGAGAAGTGAAAGGTAAAAAAATTGTTTCTTCATTGGGACTTTTAATAAACTCAAGACCCAAAATACATTTTATCTATGAATGATTTAAAGTAACGTTTAAACATTCAATACCAGGCTTGAAAAAAAAACAATCATGAATTTCAATTTTCTTTATTCTTCATCAATGTTGTTGGTAGTTTAAATATTCTTTATAGGAACGTCAGATCTAAGATTAGAGTACTTAGATAGACCTTTGGCCCTTAGTTTGTAGTTTATGCTATTGCGTTTTTTTACCTTAGTTTGTAGCTTGTACATGTGTGCTTTGGATTTTGTTCCCAGTGTGAGTGTGTATACTTATCTAGTTATCTCTCTGCTCTTACTTTGTGCTACTATGTTTAATTTGCCTATGATGTTGCGTTGAGTCAGAGGTGTCTTGGAAACAATTTATCTACTTTTGAGAAAGGGTAAGCCGGTAAAGTCTGCGTACAAACCCTCCCCGGACCCTACCTTCTGCTGCGGGATTTCACTAGGTTTTTTGTTGTTGTATTGGTAGTTTCAAGTTTGAATAATTCATTCAAGTTTTAAGAATGATAGTTGTCAAATTCTAAATCCTTCATCTACACCTAACATATGTTTTCGGTCCTGAACTAGTAAAATTCTTTTAGAAACAATATGGATGCGAAGTCGAAAGCTTTCCTCACCTTGAGAAACAGAAGGATCTTTACCACCTGCTTGGGCTTGAGTGATATCCTTCTGATAACTTCGTTGGGCTTTCTGGAAACGAATCATGTAAAAGATTAAATATATGAGTATTAAGCTTTTTTTAATCTGTTAATTGATGATTCATAAAATATCTTCATCCATCACCAAGATACCTTTTCACAAGGATGCAACTTTTCTTGCTATGCAAGCACAACAATCCAAACATTGACTGGAAAATCGATGGAATTCATCATATTAAACTTCCCTTTACTTCTAAAATTACATGTTATGGTCTAGTAATTGCATATGCTTTTTGAAAAGAACAATGTGAAGAGTAAAACAAAGAAGAAGATGAAACTTACAGCTTCGATTTGTTCGAGAGCTCGAGCAGCCTCCTTCTGTTCTTTCTCTTTCGCAGTTTTCTCCTGTCTCAGCGAATTAAGCCTCTGTGCAACGTTATCCTTATGGCGTTGGCCGAGCTCATGATTTCTGACGCTGGAAGGATTGTTGGAGAGGAAGATTTTGCAGAAATCACACCACTTGTTGCCCTGGCTAACCCAGTACTGCAAATCAACGAAAACTAGGTCAAATTCTTATACAATTATCGGATTAACTATACGCTCCATGATACGGCATCGGGATTGGATCTATGGATTGATGTAGAAATCAAAGGTTCATACCTCAGTCATGGCTGCTAATCGGATTGTTATTCAGTTGCCGGAGGAAACAATAGGAATTCCGGCGATGAGATTTATCTCTTGCGGCTTTGCGATTTCGATCTCAATGGGTTTCTTTACCTTACTCATTTTAATTTTTCAAAGTGGAATTTGCACGGAATAAGACTAAAATATTTTTTTGATGTAAGACTTCAACTTTTTTATTTCTTTAATAGTACGGAGTACTTAATAATATTTAGTAGGAAAAATAATGTCCAGTGATAGTGGATATTTACTTGAATAATGATTAAAGGATAATGATCAATGATCCTACATTGGAAAATAAAAATATATGGTCATATATTGATAAAGTCATTATGTTTTAGTTCTATTTAAGTAAAGTCATTAAATCATTGCCTGTTGTATAAATGGGGTACCCCATTTATGATGTTTGATTATATACAGAGCTTTGTATTTTACTAGTATTTTGACCCGTGCGATGCACGGGGTCGAACGAAACTGTTGTCGATTTTGAAATTTTTTAATGAAATATTTATTCCAAAATCAAGTAAATATATTTTTGTCACAAATTTTAATCAATGGAAAACAATGACAAATTGAATATAATATTAGAGAAATTGAAAGTGTACTCGAAAAAATCTTTTTTAATTCCAAATTTTTTGAAAGACTTTAGTGTACACAACATTTTTTGTATCGTTGTAAGCGTTTTTATTTTCATCTAGAACCGATATTTTTAATCATGTCTTTTTCTTTACTCGTGAAACAGTAACATAAAGCTAACCATGAGTAAATCCTGAATTGGTTAAAAATAATATAGCAAAGGACAATGTTTGACATTGACTTTTGTTTATAGTCATAGCAAAACATAAGACTATTATATTGAGAATTCTATCAGATGATACCAAATTTAATTCAGGGTATGTAAACCTTTTTCTCCAACGCGATTTCTCGAAACATCAATTACATTGATAATGTTCTTCAACATCTCTTTAATGATTAATCTTTTACCAATACACAATCCATATATTTGTTCAATGTTCTTCAATAACATAATCGGTACCCCCTTTTAAAAACTATTTTATGGTTTGAATCCCCTAACATTTGATTTCATTAAGAAGAATTGAACTGTTATCTAATTGTCTTCAACAACTACATCTAAATATGTTTGGCATGAAGAATGAGAACGTAAGTACTCTTTTTTTACCTCTTAGAATAAGAGATGAAAAATTCATTTGTCATTTAACAAATTCGATTGTGGATGCTAATAATGCACTATCCTCAAAAAAGAATAATTTTTCATGTTCTCTAATAGGTTTGGATAAGTAAAGTCCAATATATACTCTTGAGGGGGTAACTTGTGTCAAGCATCAAGAATTCAAGCGGAATTTCAACGTCAGCAGTTTCATCGATCACTTGTTCAAGTTTTCCATCTTTGACTTTGCTTATCAATACAGAAAAAGATTATGTGCCCCTATCAGTGCAAGAGCGTGTAGATAAATGCAATCTCATATTCTTAGCTAACCTATAAACTTTACATTACAATCACATTTGTGAGAATTGGTGGTAGCACCCACAATTTCCTCTCTCTACGCTATGAGTAGACCTGAAAGAATTTGGATAAAATCACCTC